AGGACAGAAAAGTAGTAGTAGTTTCAAAAAGGCATAACTGGAGTTACAGACATCAAACAAGCATGATCCTTAACTTTCTAGAAAGATTATTAAATTATCTAAAACATGTTTATTATCATCTCAAGGTGATTCCACAATTAACAAGGTCAATCAAGCACAATTGAGCACCTCTGTCTAGACTTGGACAGATTCTACCATGCAACTTCACAAGCTTATAACTGGAGATTTAGACCACCAAAAGGGGTGATCTTTAACAATTTGGAAAGCTCATGAAAATTAATACATTTATTATATTATCTCCAAGACATGATTTCATACTTAACTAGGTCAAACAATGAAATCCTTCAAATCTGCACAGAGCATAGACTAAACATGACAGATCATTTGTCAAATTCATAACTCCTAAACTATCAAACCCATGGTCATGAAATTTGAACACAAAAAAGATTATGAAATTATCTAAAAATTTTGTATTCACTACAACCATAGAAAACATCACTTACACCACGAAAACAATTGCACAAGCAAACTGCACATGCATCCCAAACAGCAGTGGTATAATTATAGACAGAAAACTGATAGGAACTTCAAAGAAGCATAACAGGAGTTGTAGACCTCCAACAAACATGAATCATAACTTTTTGAAAATCTTATGAAGTTACCTACAACTTTCGTATTATCATCTTAAGATGATTCTACAGCTAACAAGGTCAATTAATCAAATGAATGCATCTCTGTCCAAAACATGGACAGAATCTGACATGCCACTTTAAACAGCTATAACAAGAGTTCTACATGTCCAATAAATGTGGTTCTAGACTTTTTAGAATGCTTAGAAAATTCTAAACAACTTTGTTATAAACACCTAGAGAAAATTCTACTATTAAAAAAGGTCACACATTACCAACAAGGCAACCCTATCTGGATTTGGGTAGAAACAGCCACAGAAATTTAAGCAACTATAACTAAAAATTTACTTAACAAAAAATTATGCTATTTAGCTTTTTGAAAAGCTTAAGAAAAGTACTACAACTCATTTATTGTCATCAAGGCATGATTCATAACTTAACTAAGCCAATTAATACAAACATTCAGGCCTATTCAAAATAGGAGCAAAGCAACACAGGACATGTGTTATTTTTTATAGCTCTTAAACTATCAAGCCTAAAATCCTAAAATTTTTATCAAACATCAACCATCACCGGAGTAGCACTCCATCAAAATTTCACATTTATTTGAGCAAAACAACTATAGTTATGAAAAACACAACACACAACTAATATTAAAAACCTAACTGCATAAATTGATTTTTACAACAAAAACTTTAAACTAAATCATGTCATGTTATAGATCTACTGAATAGATAATTTCACAAGGATTCCAAAAAGTCCTCATTTTCTATTTTTGTATTTTTCTACAATTTACTACGATTTTCTAAATTTTTAGCCAAAATAAATGCATAAAGGTAAAACACAATTGGATCGAGGCCCCTGAGTTTTTCCTGAATCAAACTGCAGTCGGCTACACTATTCAACTGAGTCACGATTTTTGCACATAGGCCCCTTCCTTTTCCCTTATTTGAGCGTGAGATCCCTCCTTTCTTCGTACAGACAGAGAGCAGGGGAGGGCCGACGAGGAGGCCGAAATTCGGCCGGAGGATGCACGTCGGCGGCGAAGGAGTGGCGGGGATGGACCAGGGGAGTCGTGCGCACCCTCAGGGCTGCCTAGCTCGGCCCGAGGCGGTCCGTGGTCTCCTGGCCATGTGCGAGCGAGTGGCCACGGCGGCACAGCGCGCCGGCGGCGAAGGAGTGACGGCAGCAGCTAGCTGCCTCAGGTGAGACGGAGCGGCGCACGACGGTGAAGGCTCCGTGGTGCACGGGAGAGATAGAGGAGGCTTGAAGGACGAGTGAGGGGTGGTGGCCGCGGAGCTCGGTGGTGGCGTCCATGGCGGCCGCGTCCAGGAGCGCGCGCGCGACGCTAGAGAGCGAGGGAGGGAGAGGGGGAAGCTCGGTGTGAGTGAGGAGGGAGCGCCTGCCACCCCATTGATGCGAGGGGAAGGCAAGGGCATGTGGCATGGAGGTGGGACATGCGTCGGCCATGGTGGGGGCGCCCAGCCTGCATGGTGGCCACGCGAGCATTCTGTCGAACAGGTGGCGTGCGCGAACGAGCCAGACTTTGGGTCCAGATTTTGGCATGTTCGGAGCATATTCGTCCCTGGGTGCTTGAAGCAAGTTCATTACTCTCTGACTACACTACAACATTTCTTAAGGTGCCATGGTCATTTGAGTTCTGCATCCATGGGTAATTAAGCACTAAGATGGCATTGTCAATGCATCAACGGCGATTAACAAACTCCAAAATTGATGGTCAAAATGAAGTCAAACTAGTGCCATCTTTTTGCACGCTCTTCTCCACAATGTATACTCCAACTTTTATCTTTGGACCAAATTGAGTTGTTCAACAAAATTTGGAGAACGCGGAATGCCAATGTCGATGTTAGCTAAGTGACAAAGTAAACCTTTGCTATTTTAGAAACTATTTTTTAAGATCCAAATAAACTCCAAATTTGATGAGACTTGATCTATTGTTTTCACCATGAAAAGTACTTGAACTCATCTTAAAGAATCCAATTGAGCTAGCACATGAATTTGGAAGATAAAAATTCACAAACATGTCAACTTGCTGTTGTCAATCGGGGACTTACAATATTTTTCCAAGAGCCTAAGACAACAGCTGATTCAATCTTCAAGCCTCTGTTTGACTTAGTTCCAAGATGATCTGGCTCTTGGTCCAAAAACAAAGTTTGTTCTACTCCACTCAAACTTCAACTTTTATTTAAGGTGCAACTCCATGCAAGCAATGTAAGTGATTGATCAACATAGGTCCAAATAGCATCACGGTAAAGCTTAAATCAGAGTTTTAGACCGATTGAGATATTTTCTTGACTTCTGCTCAACACGAACCCTTCATAACTTTTATTGTAGAGCTCAATTAGAGTCATTTGGGCAAGGTAGAAAGGTTTGTTTGATGACCTATAATTCCATTCACTTAATAAAGCAATCCAAGAAAGATTATAACTTATCATTTTATGTGACTTCTTGATTCCAAACTTCGTGAAACTTTTCCACTGGTCAAGATGGATGTTGATGGAATGTACATGAAATAAGCATGTTTAACCTTACTCTTGCATAATCTTAACAAGGATCCACATGTAAGCAAATATGCGTTGTCCAAGTTTAAGTTGGAGCTCACTCTTATAGATTTGATCTTTCACCTTCATCACCACTTAACATGTCATGTTTGAGCTCAAATCCATTGCTTAACTGGTGACAAACACCTGACACTACCGGACACCCTCTCTTTCCCGAGTGCCGCACTCGGCAAAAATTTAATCGGCAAAGAAGCCTTTGCCGAGTGCTTTTTGTCGGGCACTCGGCAAAGCCTTTGCCGAGTGCCAGAAAAGCACTCGGCAAAGGTTTACACTCGGTAAAATGAAAATGCGAAAAAAACCCAAAAATAATAGCAAAAATTTTTTTTCAGGGGAGGCCGCCACCGGCCAGTAGCCACCCCTCTCCATCGAAATCGCTACATTTTTTGCGCAAAATTCGCGGCTAACGCGGCCGGCGGGATTCTCCCTCGCGTGTCTGTTGCTCTACCACTGCACTACACTGTCACTTGTGTCTACATTCCGTTATCTATCCTCATATATTATACTAAACCGAGAGTAAATTGCTTGTTTAAGGCCCTAAACGAATTCAAATGAAAAAGTGGTCAACTACGAAGTTTCATAACTTTTTGAGATCTACAATTTTCATTTAGGAAGTTTTTCCATCCGAGGTCGTTTGAAAAATTCGAATTTCAAATTTGAGAGATTCAAACGTAGTTTTGCATGATAAGATGATTTCAAATCAAAAAGTTGTCAACTACATAGTTTCATAACTTTTGGAGATCTACAATTTTCATTTAGGAAGTTTTTCCATCCGAGGTCTTTTGAAAAATTCAAATTTTAAAATTTTCAAATTCAAACATCGTGTTTGCATGACAAGATGATTTCAAATCAAAATATTGCCAACTACAAAATTTCATAACTTCTCAAGATCTACAAAGTTTATTGTGGTCATTTATTCATCTGACATAGTGGTAGTAACATTGTTCACAAATCTTATATATCTCTCTTCTACTTTCATGAAACTAATATGAGAGATATGAGATAGATGTAGATTTTATGAACAATGTTATTGTCGCTTTGTCAAATGAAGAAATGACCAAAATAAACTTTGTAGATCTTGAGAAGTTATACAACTTTGTAATTGAAAAGTTTTTCATTTGAATTCATTTAGGGCCTCAAAAATTGCTTTGAAAAAATAATTTGCCGAGGGCAAAAAAAAAATGCACACGATAAAATGCCTCTTTGCCGAGTGCCAAAACAAAGGCACTCAGCAAGGACGCATTTTGCTGAGTGCCAAAAAAGGACACTCGGCAAAATACATCTTTGCCGAGTGCCAGAAAAAAGGCACTCGGCAAAGACGTATTTTGCCGTGTGCCGAAAAATAGCATAGTGCCGAAAAAAAACACTCGGCAAAGCCATTTTTGTCGAGTGTTTTTTTTTTGCCGAGTGTATTTTATTTGGCACTCGACAAAGACCGTCTTTTCTGAGTGTTCAGTAAAATACACTCGGCAAAATCTCCGGCACTCGGCAAAGTGCCGGTTTCCGGTAGTGCATGTTGATGTAATGTACATGAAATAAGCATGTTTAATCTTACTCTTGCATAATCTTAACAAGGATCCACATATAAGCAAAGGTGCGTTGTCCAAGTTTAAATTGGAGCTCACTCTTGTAGATTTGATCTTTCACCTTCATCGCCATGTCATGTTTGAGCTTAACTGGTGACACGTACCTGAGGTGTTACACGCCAGCAAAGCGAAGCAAAAGAAAAGAGAAGCAGCTCACACTTGACACTCCACAGTCGTCGCCCACACCCCAAGGGGCTCGGGCAACAATGGCCACCGCCACCCCACTGCTCCCTTCCCAGCTCCTCGGCGGCAGCGTGCCGCAGCAGTGGCAGATGGGCCTCCTGGCCCTCCTCCCTGTGCTGCTGGTGTCCTACCTCCTCACCAGCAGGAGCAGGAACAGGAGCAGGAGCGGCAAGGACGGGGCGCCGCGGCTACCGCCGGGCCCCGCGCAGCTGCCGATCCTGGGCAACCTGCACCTGCTGGGCCCGCTGCCGCACAAGAACCTCCGCGAGCTGGCGCGGCGGTATGGCCCCGTGATGCAGCTGCGGCTGGTCACGGTGCCGACGGTGGTGGTGTCCAGCGCGGAGGCGGCCCGGGAGGTGCTCAAGGTGCACGACGTCGACTGCTGCAGCCGCCCCGCGTCGCCGGGCCCAAGCGCCTCTCCTACGACCTCAAGAACGTCGGCTTCGCGCCCTACGGCGAGTACTGGCGCGAGATGCGCAAGCTCTTCGCGTCGAGCTCCTCAGCATGCGCCGCGTCAAGGCCGCCTGCTACGCGCGCGAGCAGGAGATGGACAGGCTCGTCGCCGACCTCGACCGCGCAGCCGCGTCCAAGGCCCCCGTCGTCCTCAACGACCACGTCTTCGCCCTCACCGACGGCATCATCGGCACCGTCGCGTTCGGGAACATCTACGCCTCCAAGCAGTTCGCGCACAAGGAGCGCTTCCAGCATGTGCTGGACGACGCCATGGACATGATGGCCAGCTTCTCCGCCGAGGACTTCTTCCCCAACGCCGCCGGCCGCCTCGCCGACCGCCTCACGGGCTTCCTCGCCCGCCGCGAGCGCATCTTCAACGAGCTCGACGTCTTCTTCGAGAAGGTCATCGACCAGCACGACGTCCTCATCAACCTGTGCAAGGAGCACGACGGCACGCTCCGCTTCACCAGGGACCACGTCAAGGCCATCGTTCTCGACACCTTCATCGGCGCCATCGACACCAGCTCGGTCACCATCCTGTGGGCCATGTCGGAGCTGATGCGCAAGCCGCAGGTGCTGAGGAAGGCGCAGGCCGAGGTGCGGGCCGCCGTGGGCGACAACAAGCCGCGCGTCGACTCCGAAGACGCCGCCAAGATCCCGTACCTGAAGATGGTGGTCAAGGAGACGCTGCGGCTGCACCCACCGGCGACGCTGCTGGTGCCTCGGGAGACGATGCGGGACACCACCATCAGCGGCTACGACGTGCCGGCCAACACGCGCGTGTTCGTCAACGCGTGGGCCATCGGCAGGGACCCGGCGAGCTGGCCGGCGCCCGAGGAGTTCAACCCGGACCGCTTCGTGGGGAGCGACGTCGACTACTACGGCTCGCACTTCGAGCTGATACCGTTCGGGGCCGGCCGCCGGATCTGCCCGGGCCTAGCCATGGGCGAGACCAACGTCACCTTCACCCTGGCCAACCTGCTCTACTGCTTCGACTGGGCGCTGCCGGCGGGGATGAAGCCGGAGGACGTCAGCATGGAGGAGACTGGCGCGCTCACGTTCCACCGGAAGACGCCGCTGGTGGTGGTGCCCAGCAAATACCAGCGCCGCGCAGCGTAGTAGTGAGCAGAGCAATCATCGACGACGACAACGACTGAATAAGCGTGCCGAAGTTTAGTACCTCCAGCCAACAGTCAGAGTTGGAGCTATCAGCTATCCCGTCCTATTTTATTTTTTTTATTTGAGAAATATTTATTATGTGTTTTGCACAACATAAATAAATAAAGCAAATCAAAGTTGCGAGTTATATTATCCCTGTCCGAATCCATTGGTAATAATGGTCTCATGGCTCATAGTTCATAGCTAATATTAGCTAGCGAACTATTCACTCTAGGTGATGTTTGAATCCACTAGTTAAAAGGTGGATGCATTGGTGATTTTGTTTATAATATATTTCCTTTTCTATTTGTTGTTGTAAGAGCACGTGGATATATGAAGGTGGACGGCAAATGTAATTGGTACCTGAAATCAATGACATGTATACATGCTTTTTTAAGTTATGTGTTTTTAAGGAAATTAAGCAAGTTGAAAACTGAACTAACTAATTAGTGAGGGCTAAGTTAACCTTTTACCAGAGACTCCTTATTTGGTTCTAAAATTGTTTGGATACCTTGTAAGGAGTAGCTGCTATATATGGCACTGATCTTTCTGAAAAAAAAATGTTTCTGAAAATGCATCTATAAATATATATCTGCAGATTGTTTGCTGAGATTTGATACTCTTGCTGACATTGGAAATGCATCTATTGCTGGTTCAGTTATAATGAAATTGGACACCTGTTAACTAAAATTTTATAGTTGTTACTGTTAGGCCTTATGTTAACTGAAATTGGCCATCTATTAAATAGCAATTAGAAAACTGACATTTTTCCTTCAGAACTGACAGAGTTAAACCAATTCAGATTTAAACCTATTCAGAACTCATTACAGGAGCATACATTTTTCCAGAGTTAAAACAACTGACAGAAAGCTACCAACTGACAGAACATTTTTCATTTGAAAACCGACAAAAAGAAACCAACAGAATTGCAGCAAGGACAGTTGAATTGGACAAGGTACACTTCCATGTTAAGATGTCTCAAAGGATTGTTATAAACAAACAATAGTTGTAATATATCTAAGTTTCAGTGTTTAAGCTAGATAGAGACAATGTAACATGGAAGAGCTGTTAATTCATACAATTCTACAATGCAGCAGCATACTTATAAACAAAAACCAAGAGATCGATGACCTACATATTTAACTAAATCCTCTAAAAAATCAGACAGAACTTTCACTGACGATCCAGACTCGCGAATACTAAAACTGATCAGTAGGAGCCGAGAACGCAGGAGCCAGGCGCTAGGATCGGAGTTGCGACAAAACGATCCACGACGAGTCCTCATTTACCGCCATGTCCTCGTCTCTACATGAAGGAGCGCATGCGCGGCCGGACGATGGACTGAGCACCGTCCACGAATATGGTTGTGCCCGTCATGTACCGGGACTCGTCCCCGACCAGGTACAACACTGTGGACGCTAGGTCCTTCTCCGGATCCAGCCATCTCCGTAGGGGCATCACCTCCGCTGTTGCCTTCTCAGCCTTCTCCTTACCCACGGAGATGGGGAACTTGTCCTGCAGATGCAGGCCGCGACAGGCTGCGTTAACCCTAATCTTGTGCTTGCCAAGCTCCATTGCAGACAGCTGAAACAGGGGCAAGATTCAGATTGACAAGAATTGGTTGTAGCAATCAAAAGACGAAACGGGACTGAACAATACAGAGGTTAACCCTGAGAAAGACAGAGACAGTGATCCTATACTTTTTTTTTTTTTGAAAAATTGGCAGGAGCTCTGCCTTTCAATTAAGAGGGTAAAAAGAGTTAATCATATACAAGCAAAACCAGGGTTAACTCGCCCTGGGGAGCAGGAAAAGGATAGGCTCTCTCCAAACGCTAAACCCCCTCTAGCCGAATGCTCTCCTTCTTTGCTCAATGTCGTCTTTGATCCTTGCTGCTACTTGCATCACTGATTCAGAGTTGTTGTTGAATATGCGCCTGTTTCTCTCTTTCCAGAGGTTCCAAAAGGTGTATATGACCATGCCGTTGAAACGTCTCCACTCTGTTAGGGGCACTACGATAACAGCCTCCTCCCACCAGGACATGATTTGCAAGAGGTCCCCCTGCTGCTGTTCTAGAGTAGTATCGAAGTGTTCCCATGCAAGAATTTGTCTCAGTGATCCTCTATACTCAGTGGCTGTCTATGAAAGCTTTTCCTGAGCTGAACAATCAGGGGTACCATTCCATCATCCTTTCCACCTTGGCATATATGAACTGAGCGGTGTTTTCAGAAATTCAGAAACCTAATGGATGCAGATTGTTGAAAAGGCCCAAATGGTATGTGGGCTGTGGAATTCAGCAGCAGCTCCTTGAATCGATTGGTTGTATAAAGAGCCTGGGTTGTTTCAGCCTTTCAGGGTTTTGGTATTATTACTTTCTTTTGCTCCGCTGCTACTGTCTGAACATTCAAGGTTGTACATCTGAGGTGGTGGTGGTGTCTGAATTTCTTTAGCCAATTGTTACCATGTTAGTGTGGTCCAGCTATTCGTTTATTATGTCATATATGTACTTCGGTTGGTACTTTGGTCAGTTGCTCTAAACTCAACACAAGGAAAAAAATATATTATCCTGCATGTCCCTGAAACAATCACCATTGAAGATGCTATTTTTCGTGTGCATGTGTAGCATCAAGGAGTATTGAGAAATTAGTAATGTCTGATTTGGCAAATTGCATACCCACTGCCTCCTGTTTTTATGTGCAATTTAAAGGTGCAAAAACTCATAGAAACTCATAGACATATGAGAGTTGACTTGTCCAAACTTTGTTGATCATTTCAATGTGGAATTTTTAGCATTGCAACATGATCAGTTTCAGGGCTTTATTTGGACAGAACAGCAGCTGTCAGCATAATAAGCATATAGAAAGGGCACACGTCCAAGTAGTAGACAAGGATACTTACTCGGACCAATTGGTGAATAGCTCCTAAGCTTGTACCATATGCTGCAGCACCTGGATATAACCCTCTCTCAGCACCAATAATCTGAGTCAAGAACACAATAGATCCACCAGATTTTGTATCCTGGAATCGCTTTGTGATCGCCTTCATAAGAAACCAAGGTGTTATCACATTTACTTTGATGGTCTTCCTGTACTCATCTTCACTTATACTGAGACAATCTTGCACCTCCCCTGGTCACACAGACACACACAGTAATGGGACATTTAAAAAAAAAGAATCGGCTGAAGCAGGACGTAAATGTGGACAAAACTGGCATTTCGTTCTGGTGTTTTCAGTGTTAAGACTACATTCAGACTAGCGATACCACTAGAGCCTCTGGTTTGTTTAGGATGCAACATCTCACATGCTGGACCCATGACAATTAAAATAAAAGACAACATATCTGTAATATGACACAAGTTATGTAACGGATCAATTTAATTATCAGGGTAGTTCAGTTCAGAGATATGTCTGAACCATGATATACGATGCAAATTCAGTTCACTGGACCCTGTATTTTCCCCACTCCCACAGTTTCCTACAGTTCTCTTTTTTTTTCTAAAGGGGCGCGCTTGGTTAAAAGCCGTAGTGAAATTGAAAGCGTTAGCAATTCAATCCACAGTCCACGAGCATCCCCGTTCACGATTTTTACTGTGGCATAAGCAATGAGCTCAAGGTAAACAAGCAAAGGCAAACCAATGGTCCATACGACATCAGGCGAGTACGTCTGTATGCGAATCGTTCATACCCTCGTAGGAGTAGCAGTTGACGAAGGCATCCAGTCCGGCGAAGCAGCGCCAGGCCCGATCCACCGCCGCGTCGGCCGCCGCCTCACCGCACGCTTCCAAGTCCAGCCCCACCAATTCGACGCCTCCGCCTCCGCTGCCCCCGCAGCGCCGCGCCTCCTCCGCCGTCGCGGCCAGCGTGCCCTCGTCGCCCAATAAGACCAATCTTCAACCGGAATCAGAACCGAGCCGCATGCGACGACAAGCGCGGGGACGGGGAGTGGTGGCAGCTACCTGCAGCCGTGCTTGGCGAGAGTAGAGGCGATCCCCCGGGACACGGCGTCGCCAGCGGCGGTGAGCAGCACACGCTTCGCGTAGGCGTCCCCCATCCTCTGGACCACCCGATTCCCGCGGCGGAGGCGGATTTTTTTTTTCTTTCCTCTCTCTCTCGCGAGCACGACAGCAAAGCAGGCAGGCAGGCAGGGGCGCAGGGCAGCACGCTGAATTCTTCCGGGAGTTGGACCGCACACAGATGCGGCGAAACGAGTGACAGACTGTTCGCTTGCTCACGATCGTAAATTTTCAGCCGATAATAGTGTTTTTCTCTCACACCAAACTAGCCAGCAGTAAATAATCCATAATACGATACGGTCTCCCGAACAGGCTGTTGGGCCACCGCGCTGAGCTGGGAAGGTTGTTCTGGGCCTGCGTCCCGTGAGCCGGCCTTCCTTCTATCTTCTCGACGGAACAAATGGAAATTTTAAACATTCTCCTGAATTTGTCTAATATAAATAGAAGCGCAGGGCTGGTTTTCATCATTTAAAAAAACAACCACACAAGTTCTGAACAACAGAGTATATCAAATCGGCAATTGAATCGGATATATAACTTTTTTTTCTTTTTCTTCATAGAGCAAATATTCTACAAAAGACGATGCATGAGCTCAAACAATAAACAGACATGGTGGTCCCTATTTTAGATCTTACAACGGTAATTTTCTTCCAAAAGCATGGTAAAAGCAAGACGACAAATGAGAGCCTATTTTTTTAGTGGAATCTGATCTTAAAACATGGTTTAACGCTCAACCAACTAACAACTCCACATCACTATCAGCTCAGGTAGTCATGTACGCAACGCTAAGCCTACTCAGTCGAATACGACCTAACAAGCAACTCGGTTGAAACACCTGGCGTGAGTCGAAGTAGTGGCGCAGCTTCCTCTTAGTGATCAGGATGCCGTAAAGGAGCTTCTCGATCTAGGGGTAGCGTGTCTTAGAGTCGGACAAGACTTCGCTAACGAAGTACACGGGGGCGCTGTACCTTGAGGGCGTGTCCCTCTTCTCCCTGTTCTACAACCAAGGCGGCACTGACCACCTGAGTCGTAGCTACGACGTAGAGTAGGAGCGGCTCTCCCTCAGCCGGCGGGACTAGAATCGGGGCCTTCGTCAGGAGCAATTTGAGTTTGTCAAGCACCTCCTGAGCCTCAGGCGTCCATGTGAATCGGTCGGTTTTCTTCAGGAGCTAGTAAAGGGGGAGCCCCCGCTCTTCGAGGCGTGAAATGAAGCGACTAAGCGCTACGAGGCACCCGATAATCTTCTGAACTCCCTTTAGGTTCGAAATCGGGCCCATCTTCATGATGCCTGAGATTTTTACTAGATTAGCTTCGATGCCACGCTCGGAGATGATGAATCCGAGCAGCATGCCCCTTGGGACCCCAAAGACGCATTTCTCGGGGTTGAGCTTGATGCCATTCTCCCAGAGCTTCCTGAAGGTCTGCTCTAGGTCGGCCATGAGCTGGTCAGTATGCTTGGACTTGACTATGATGTCGTCCACGAAGCCTCAACGGTCCGCCCGATGAGGTCTCCAAAGCATTTGGTCATGCAGCACTGGTACGTAGCCCCAGAGTTCTTGAGTCCGAACGGCATCGTAACGTAGCAGAACGATCCGAACGGGGTGATGAAAGAGGTCGTGAGCTGGTCAGACTCTTTCATCGTGATCTGATGATATCCGGAGTACGCATCAAGGAAGTATAGGGTTTCACACCCTGAGGTCGAGTCAACTAATTGATCTATGTGTGGCAAAGGAAACGGATCCTTCGGGCGTGCCTTATTGAGGCTTGTGTAGTCGACACACATTCTCAATTTTCCACTTTTCTATTTTACAAGAACGAGATTGGATAACCACTCCGGGTGGTATACTTTCTTGATAAAACTGGTCGCCAAGAGCTTAGCGATTTCTTCGCCGATGAGCCTCCGCTTCTCCTCGTTGAAGCGGTGAAGGCGTTGTTTCGACTGGCCTAGAGCCCAGCCTGATATTCAAGGCATGCTCGGTGACTTCCCTTGGAATTCCCGGCATATCCGAGGGTTTCCACGCGAAGATGTCTCAATTGGAGCGGAGGAAGTCGACGAGCGTGCCTTCCTACTTGGGGGAGAGGGCGGTGTCGATGCGCACTGTCTTGTTGGCGGAGTTGTCGGGGTCGACGAGGACCTCCTTGATGTTCTCCGCAGGCTCAAAGGATCTGGCCGCCCGCTTCGCGTCGGGCGCTCCTTCAGTGACGTCCTTCCCAATGGCTACGAGCTCCTCGGAAGCGAGGGTCGCTAAAGCGAGCTCACAACTCTCGACCTCGCACTCATAGGCCCTCTGAAAAGAAGTGCCGACGGTGATGACCCCACGCGGACCCAGCATCTTGAGCTTGAGGTAGGTGTAGTTGGGGATGGCCATGAACTTCACGTAATATGGTCGCCCCAAAATGGCGTGGTAGACCGGGGGAACCCGACTACCTCAAAGGTGAGGGTCTCTATCCTGTAGTTAGACGGATTCCTGAAGATGATGAGCAGGTCGATCTGCCCGAGTGGTATGGCCTGCTTTCCCGGCACGATGTCATGGAAAGGCGCCTTGGTCGGCCGTATGCGCGCTCGGTCGATGCCCATAGCGTCGAGAGTCTCGACGTACATGATGTTGAGGCCGCTACCTCCATCCATCAGTACCTTAGTGAGCCGCTTCATGCAGATGATAGGGTCGACCATGAGCGGGTACCTGCCTGGGTGTGTGACGCTATCCGGGTGGTCAGATTGGTCGAAGGTTATGGGAGACCCTGACCATTTGAGGAAAGCGGGCGCGGCAGGCTCGGCTTCATAGACCTCTCAGCACGCGAGCTTCTGTCGGTGCTTGGAGTTGTATGCTTCTAGCCCACCGAAGAGCATGAGGTAGCCATCCGGCGATGGAAAGCCACCGTCCTTCTCTCCGGTGTCGTCGGCTTCTGCCTCGGGCTTCTTCTTCTGCTCCCATTTCTTGGAGCCGCCAGTGAAAAAACGGTTCATGAGGGAGCAGTCCTTGTATATGTGCTTGACGGGGAAGGCGTTGTTTGGGCATGACCCCTCGAGCAGCTTGCCGAAGTGATCGGGGGTGCCCTCGGTCGGCGCTCGATCGGCTTTTCGCTCGGCGGCGGCCACGAGCGAGCCCTCGCACCCTTTCCAGTTCTTCTTCTTATTTGAACGGTCGGAGGGGCCTTCGTCAACGTCCTTGCCCCGCTTTGCCTTGCCTCTGGAGTGATAAAAAATTGCTCCAACCGCCTCCTCGTCGGAAGCATGGCTGGTCACGATGTCGAGGAGTTTCTTGGTAGTCCGTGGGCCCTTACGTCCTAACTTGTGGACCAGGGACTCACAGGTGGTCCCTAATAGGAAGGCTCTGATGACGTCGGCATCGGTGACATTGGGGAGCTCGTTGCACTGCCGGGAGAAGCGTCGGATGTACTCGTGGAGAGTCTCTCCTAACTTCTGTCGGCAGTTCTTCAAGTCCCAGGGGTTCCCAGGGCGTGCGTAGGTGCCTTGGAAGTTCCCTATGAAGATTTGTTTTAGGTTCGCCCAACTCTGAACGCAGTTGGGCGAAAGGTGCTCCAGCCATTTTCGCGCCGAGTCAGCCAGGAACAGGGAGAGATTGCGGATGACAAAGTCATCACTGACCGCACCGTTGGCCCGGCAGGCGATCCGGTAATCCTCGAGCCATAGGCTGAGGTTTGTTTCCTCAGAGTATTTCGGGACGTTAGTCGGCGGACGGTATCGGGGTAGGAGTGCTGCCTTGAGGATATGCCAACCGAAAGCCTAGGGCCCCGTCGGCTCGAGGCTACGACTCCGGTCCTCCTCGCGGTCATATCGTTTGCCCCGTCGAGGGTGATAACCGCGGCTAGCCCCCTCCCCCGCATCGTTGCGGGTACACCGGTGGGCGTCGAGGGTGTCGCGTGCGTCATGATTGTGGCCGAGGTGCTCCTGTACCAGAACCATGATGCACGGCCTGCCACCGTGTGGCACTTGGTGGACTGATGCGTCCCTATCGGGCCGCACGGAGGGCGAGCACTGGCTGGCGTTGAGCTCCCATCGTCGAGACAACGAGATCTTAGCCTACTGTGCTGCCACACGCTTGAGCAGCGTTTGAACCTCACGATGGGCCCGTCGATCCTTAGGCATCGCGGGCTCCGAAAGCCCCCTGAGCAAGGCTGCTGCCTTAGTGATGTTCTGGCTTGCCCAGGCAAAGTGAGGAAGTGCTTGATCATCCTCGATGATCCTCCGGTTCATGTCATAGGCCATGGCGCGTGCGCGTCCTCTGTCTTTGTGGCACTCGATCTCGTGATCGAGCTCCGCGCATTCCTGCTCGAGCTAGAGTCACGCTTCCTCAAGCTCTAGGTGCCCGGCCTTTAGCTGCTCCACCCACAGGCGAGGTGGGGCTCTTGCATGCCCCTCGACCTTGTTGTCGAGGTCGTTGGTCGGGGTAGCCTCCTCCTCGTGGATGCTCTCGACATGTCCCTCGGGGGTACCTGTCATGAAGCATTCACGAGAGGGGTGATGGCTCACCCTACTGGAGTTAGAGCCAGAGAGTGACTCTGGCTCCTCTGCTAGGAGGTCATGAAAAGATTTCGCGATGTGTTCGATCACCCCCACGAACTCATTGCTCGTGGGGGACGGAATCATGCGTTGCGCCACAAGGTGGCCAATGGTCTCTGTGGCATTGCAAAGACCGAACGGGAGCACTGTCGGGGCGCTCTGTATGAGGTATTCTGGGGAGAGCGGCTCTCCCCAAGTAAGCTACGTCATGACATTGGCGAATGAGAAGGTGAGGTGGCGCAGGTCCTCTCAAGACGGTTGGGGTCCTAGGAAGACGCCGAGTTGATGCTCCAACCTTCCATAGTCAAAGTCGAGGAGCTGGCTGCTTCTAGGGGCTTGAGCCTCCGGTGCGTGCAGCTACAGCTCCTCAAGCATCTCGGCGATCGTGTCGAGGCTGGTGGAGTGGAAGGGTTGAACGATGACGGGCGCCCGCGCTAGCTCTCCCTAGGAGCCGAGTGAGACGGAATCCAACCCCCGAGGGTCGGACGAGGTGGAGCCCTCCCCGTGGGATCG